CGGGGCCATTTGATGGCCCACCATTCCAGATTTTATTTCATCACCACTTGGTCTTGTCCCAAAGTCAGATCCAGGAAAATTTAGAATTATCCACGATTTATCCTTTCCTGAGGGGTACTCTGTGAACTCATTTATTCCTAGGGAGAATTCAGAAGTTCGGTACAATAGATAGGATTATTTCATTGGTACAAATTTTTGGTGAGGGTGCCTTGATGGCAAAGTCTGACATTAAGGATGCTTTCCGCATTGTTCCCATACATCCCCTATATTATCATTTACTTGGGTTCACTTGGAATAAAAAATTCTATTATGATCGTTGTCTCCCAATGGGAGCAAGTAGTTCTTGCAAAATACTAGTATTTGAGGAACTTAGTCAGGCCTTGGTATGGATAATGTATAATAAATATCATGCTTCTGGAATATCTATATTCTTGATGATTTTCCTGATAGACTCGCTCACTACGTTAAACTTCGTACATGTATTTGCGCATTGTCAAATAATTGTGCGTGTTTTGAGACAGTCTGTATGAATTAGCATGTCATCTGGGACGCTAAGTAATTGAAATAATTTGATGAATGTCGCAGTTTCATTAACAAATTCCAACAGGAAAAGTTATTCCGGAAAGCTGTAAATACATGATATTTACAAACGGCAATGGACAAAACAGTTCTGAGAATACATAATGATAATATATAAGTATATAACCACAACTTCAAAAATTCGGAATTTTTATACGTAGACTGCATTTGGTTCTCACCTTGTTGATTATAGTTCTGTTCATTATTTCCGGTAGTAAAAAAAAACACATAAACATTCTTAAGTGTACACATTCGGGCCGCTCACCTTGGCTGACTGAATTACCCTACATCAAACATTGTAAACTTATTGATTTTGAAAAGCATTTGTTTTTTCGTATGTATATGAAAATAAGAGGTAAATAACTTAAACATTAACAGGACTTGGATGTGTATTATTAACAGTATTTCTAAAATTTATATACTAAGTATTATAATATATTCAATTCACTGAAACATTTGAAATGATGAACATCATATTCATTGTATTTTTTTAGCATATCATTCAGTTCTTAGAAAAACTGGACAAAAAAATTGATGATCTGGCTCAGGAAGTAAAATCCCTGAAGGAGGAGGTGCGAGGAAAGAAGAAAGATGCTAGTAGGAGTCCTGCCACCCAGAATTCAAATTTGCCTGTTCCACCGAGAATCAGAGTATGTTTGCTCCACACACAAGTACACCTATTTATATATTATAAAAGGACAATCTACCAAATATTCATTTCCTTTCAGAATTATAGCATTCAAGAAGATATATGATTATTTTATTTTTGCTCATTTATAAAGTTAGTTACACTACACTAATTATGTTTTTTTTAAACACTTGACACTTTTCTAGTATTATTTACTCACTGAATAGGTATTTTTGTTTTTTCTGAATAAACAGACAGCTGTCCATGATGCCTATAGGCATGTCGTAGAAGATGGGACTGGAGAATGGCAGACGAAGAATGAAGAAAGGAAAATGAAGTAAGCAACTGATTTATTGATAAAGATTTAAAAGAAGTTATTAAATGCATCCAGACTTCTACATGTGTTATATAATAAAGTAAAAATATTGATAGAAATATGGTATTTTTTATTAAATACCCCGGTACTCAAAAGCAAAATCAACACAGGTTTGCTATTTGAGTATTTGATTGATATAAACAATTTTCAAAATATATGGCTTAAATTGTTTTAAACTAAATATGCCAAATACATGTTATTTTATAAATTGAACTTTCCTTCTTGGATATTTTGTAACAGTTACACAAATTCAATGCAAACATAAACAAAATGGATTAAATGAAATTTTTTTTTCTAAATCTGTATATATATATATATATATATATATATATATATACTACATACATTAATGTCATTTTGAAGGATGTCATCAGAAGTAAACAAAAGAACAACAGAGTCTGTGAAGTCCTTTGTGAAAGGACTCTATCTCTACTCTAAGGAAAATTACATTGGAGAGGAAAGAATATATGTTTCTCTTTCCTTGAGTGATGCACATAGACATAACATTTGTCCGCAGTCTTCCCTTGGAAAAAGATTAAATGAAAAAGTAAAGAGTTAAAATTTATGAAAATGTCAGGTCTGAAATCACTAACGTCACCTTTGTAAAATAAAAATTGAGATCATTTATTGAGGCAGAATTTAGGAATAAGGAAATTGGACCATCAATATACGACAGAGCATTCTATCCCTTTGCAAAATACATTAAAAATCATATTCACAAAGCAGTTGCAGCTGGTAAACTTTCGGTATTAGACTAGGAAAATTGAAGAACAAAAGTCGATGAGTGGAAGAAGGAGGAAGACTGCCCTCGCCATTTCTACTTTCGTCGAGTCACGGAGGAACCTGCTGATGTTGCCAGGGATAACTTTTTATTCATACATCAGGAGGAGTGGCAGAGGAGACTAATGAACATGTATGGAAATACGGAATCCCTCCTAGATGCCATACATTGAACAACAAAATATAACCTTGTCATTTTTATGGTTGTAGTAAGGACAATTGTTGAGTACATCCCTGTTGCAGAGTTTGAGACAGAGGATGAGACTTCTGAAAGTATCCAAGAGGCCTTACATATCTTAAAAGTCTGGAATCCAGACTGGTGCCCCGATTACATAATGCTTGACTACATTGAGGCAGAAATTAACGCAGTCAAAGCTGAGTTTGCAACTTCCAAAGTTCTCTTGTGTAACAAGCCTGCATTGGAAAGATGGTCAAGAAGTGGGAAAAAAAATTATAACTTTGTTATATACCACTACATTTATATATAACTTTGAAAGAAAAGTGAAACTTCATAAAGATACAATTACATTGAACTTGATGAGACACTCTGTGATTAATTGAAATATGAGATAATCAACTAGAGGAGATTGCTTTAAAATATGTAATTATGAGTAAATAAAATTGATAAATTGAAAAATGGCTAAAACCAAATCATTTAAAATGATCTCAGCTTAGTCTTTTCTTGGACAATGACCAACACTTGGTCAAAATGTAATAAACATTGGCATTATATTTGCAATTAATTTTCAAAATCCTTTTAATTATTGGCAAAAAAAGAACATTGAAGACATAAACAAAATGCATTCTTGGTGATATTAATTACTAATAAGAAAAATCAAAGTACAGAAAGTACTGATAGACGGAGGCTTGGAATGAACATGATTGTTTGTCTCTTTGGCAATTTTTTATTCATATTCTGACCCCAACATTTGCCTAAGGGTAGTTGGCCATATCTTTTGAATAGTAGATACCAGGACATTTATACTTCATATATGTATTCTTGGTGGAAAGACCTTTCATTGGATATTAACAACCTTGACCTTTTGACCTTGACCTTCGAGATTCCATACTTATGTAAAAACTTTAACCTTGGCCATAACTTTTGAATAGTAAGGGATCTATAGTGCTTTCATACTTCACATATGTAATCCTTGTAAGAAGACCCTACATTGGATACCAAGAACTTTGACCCTTTGACCTTGGAGTTTGACCTACTTTTATAAAGCAAATCTTGAGCATAACTTTTAAAGCTTTAGGGTTAGTGCTTTCATACTTTATATATTTAATCCTTATGACAAGACCTTTCATTTTATAGCAAGACATTTGACCTTGGAGTTTGGCCTACTTTAAAAAAAATATCCTTTGTCATAACTTTTGAACGGTTAGGGCTTCATACTTCACATATGTATCCTTTGTGGAAAGACTTTTCATTGCATACCAACAATCATGAACTTTTGACCTTTACCTTGGAGATTCCCGTACCTATAGAGTAACTTTAGCCTTAACCTAATTTCATATTTCACAATTGTATTTCTAGTAAGAATACCCTACTTTTGGTATCAGTATATTAAATTTGCATTTAAAAAAATTAAGTTTAATCTTCGCTGTATTACCACAGGGGGGGGGGGGCAACAGTGTTTCACAAACATATCTTCATTTATGTTATCGTAGTCTGATGTTTAATTATGTAATTAACCAAATTCCTATTTTTCATCAAAAGGACAAAGCACTCTAATTGCAACAAACTATATTAATTTGAATTCTTTAGTGACATTGTTGTGAGGTGTGTTGTATTTGTATTATTTCATCATGTATATTATTAGTAACATTAAGTTTCTTGAACATTCCAGAGTGGTCAACATGTTCGGTCATTTTTCTAGAACATTCTTGAACTTTGTGCATGTCCAGAACTTTCCAGTAATATCATGTATTTACAATTTCTAGAATATTCTAGATTTATATTACTGTATAAATACCCTGTCAATTCGATGCAGAGATAGAATTGTCGTATAAGCATCATTGAGGTATTACTGGGATATAATTTCACTGGGACATTGTGTGCAGCAACGGACACTCTGATGTATGTATTTTTAGATTCTTGCTAAGTTTGTACTTTATGTTTCATATACTTATTATATATTACTGTAAATAAATTATTGTTAAGTTTAAATTTTGCTATTGATCTTTGCTGGCATTTCGGGTAATTCTGACCCATAACAGAATTGGGGGCTCGTCCGGGATAAAGAATTTCTTGCACTTTTGCAGTTTATTGTCAGAATTTTGTTTATTGAACCGTTAAATTTGACTATAAGCCAGCAAAAATCAACATGGTATTTTCGGTCACAAACTTTCTTAGTTCGCCAAGTGTTCAGGTTTTTGATACGTTAAAAAAGGATGACTTGATCGCATTAGGTTTGCATTTTGGGTTAGATGTTAAATCCTCTCAGAAAAAGCAAGACATTAGAATTAAGGTTGCAAACAAACTAGTAGATGAAAACATCTTTGAAAAATACGATCTTCCAGAATATACAGTTAGATCAGAGTTAGGCTCTTATAAAATGGCAGACTATCAGTTTCAATTAGAGTTAGAGAAAATGCGATTAGAAAGAGAAAAATTAGAAAGAGAAGAGCGAGAAAGAGACAGAGAAAGAGAAAGAGAAGAACGAGAGCGTGAACGGAAATTTGAATTAGACAAATTAGAAAGACAAGAGCACTTTGAGTTAGAGAAATTAAGATTACAGCATAAACCAGAACCCTCATTTGTCAAGAATGAATTTGATGCAGCAAAAAATATTAGGTTAGTTCCGAAATTTCAAGAAAAATCTGTAGACAAGTATTTTCCCCAATTCGAAAAAGTCGCAGAAAATCTTAAATGGCCACAACACGTTTGGTCAACAATGTTACAAAGTGTACTGGTTGGCAAAGCAGCTGAGGTATACTCTGCACTAGGGGTAGCTGAAAGTTCAGACTATGAGAAGGTCAAAGCAGCAATATTAAAAGCATATGAATTAGTACCTGAAGCATATAGACAAAAGTTCAGAAAGTATAGAAAGTTTGATAATCAAACATTTGTTGAATTTTCACGAGAGAAAGAAGATTTATTCGATCACTGGTTTAGATCTAAGAAACTTGATAAAACTTTTGCTAATTTGCGCCAAGTCATCCTGGTAGAAGAGTTTAAGGAATGTGTTACTCAAGATTTGAAAACACATCTAGAAGATAAGAATGTTAAAACTCTTGAAGAGGCAGCAGTCATATCTGATACTTATGCTCTGTCTCATAAAAAGAATTTTGTATCAAGATCTCAGACTAGCAGTAATTCTACAAATTCAGACACATATAAAAAGAGTGGTTCAGGGTCTCAGTCTTTCACAAGTTCCCAGTCTCCATCCCAAGGTGGTTCTAAGTCCGGTCCAGGACGTTTTGAAGGATCTTCTGGAATAGGGTCGCTTCCTACTTGTAGTTATTGTAAGAAAAAAGGTCATCTGATCAGTGAATGCTTTAAACTTAAGAGAAAAAATGACTTTGATAAAACTCAACCACATGCTTGTGCGGCAGTTAGAGGAGATAGAGAAGCCTTAGTTTCGATTTGTTCTGACACTCCTGATGTCCAGGGTTCACAGTCCAGTTCTATTGATTCTATGGAGGATTATAAGCCCTTTATGTCTCAGGGATTTGTTTCACTCGGTGACTCTAGCGAAATAAAACCTGTCCAGATTTTGAGAGATACTGGTGCTGCACAGACGTTATTGTTAGAGGGCGTGCTTCCTTTGTCTGAGCAGACTTCTACTGGTGGGTCAGTTTTATTACAGGGTGTGGAGCTAGGCGTCATTGATGTTCCCCTGCATAGAATTAGTTTGAAGTCAGATTTAGTTACTGGACCTGTTATCGTAGGTGTTCGACCTACTCTTCCTGTTCCAGGCATTTCTTTGTTGCTAGGCAACGATTTAGCTGGTGGAAAAGTTGTACCAGATCCTATAGTTTGTGAGAAAATCACTCCAGATGTCATGTGCGATGATGAAGATGATGACATTTATCCAGCCTGTGCTGTTACTAGAGCGATGGCCAGAAGACGAGAAATGGAGGCAGACCATACTCAAGCCTTTGACGAGACGAATTCCTCTGTTGATATTGATTTGAATGACACTTTCTTATCTGACCTTGATGGCACTCAAACAAGCATGGAACCACACAATATCAAGAAGCAAGAGAAGAAAGAACTGTTACCAAAATTTGGTGGTGAGGATGATGAGTTGCATCCAATAGTTAGCCAAGGCAAGGACATCCTCAGCCGAGAACGTTTACTCTCTGAACAACATAAAGACCCAGATATCATTCAACTTAGTAAGAGGGCACTTCCACCAGAAGAGGCTACTAAAGTTGGAGAATGCTTCTATATGAAAGATGGCATCCTTATGCGAAAATGGCGACCACCTGACGCTTCCCCAGATGAAGTGTGGCGTGTTGTTCACCAGATAGTGGTCCCAGCTGCTTATCGTCGAGATGTCATGAGTTTAGCTCACGATACACCTATGGCTGGTCATTTAGGTATCAATAAGACTTATAATAGGATTTTGAGTCATTTTTATTGGCCTAAGCTAAGGAAGGATGTTTCTGAGTTTTGTAAGTCGTGTCATGTCTGTCAGAT